AAACTTTCCACACAAAGCTGCAGCGAAAGTTCACCCAGCGCACCTTTGTGGTCCATTCGAGTGTCTGTGTGCAGCAGCTCGTCCTTCTGCCCGAGTGTGTAGCGCTCGTGTGTGTGAGTTAGTAAGGGGAAGTAAGTGGCGATGGCAAAAGTTGTGCACTAATTAAGCGCTAATAACATTTTAGCTTACTTTGCCGCTTGCCGGCGGAGCTCCGGGCTCCCAGTTTGCAAATATGATCAGACCGCAGCACAGGGGCTGGTCCGGCACAGAAAAGTGGGCGTGGCCAGGGACTAAGCTCCGCAATCAATTTCGCACACAGGCCAGGTTAAAAACATTTTAATTTCCATTTGGCCGAAATGGCAGGCTGGCCAAATTGCTGCGATTGCCATCAAATCCCAGGGCACTGAAATTTTCTCGGCCAGTTTTTAGGCAGCTGCCAACTGTCACACAGGTGGGCGGGGTGGTGAGGGGAAGGCCGAACGCGGAAGGAGGCAGCCAGGACCTGGACTTGCTCTAACCCCCGGCGGTCCTTGAGAGTTCACAGTGAAAAACTAAATTTCTGCCCAGTTAATGGAAAAATATTAGTTTCTAAATGAGTTGTTTGAATTTAATTTAAGTTTTTGTTTAAAAAATTTATTGATTAAGGAACTTAAAAAAAGGATAGTATCTAAAAAAAATATAAATAAAAGGATTCAATTTGCAGCCCTTATGGTCAGAGAAGATAATTGAGTAAGATAAGTAAGAATCAAGTAGGAGTTTTGATCAGTGTAGGCCATAGTTCAGAGCCAGGACAAATTCGTACAAGGGAGAATAAAAATGTTGTTGCCATCTTGCAGTCAATTGAGTCTGTTAGTTTGTGCCTCATGTGCTTGTGTGTGCCGTGTGGGTGTGCCACTGAGTGTGTGCGAGTGTGTCAGTGCACTTTGCATGGGGCAAATAGGAAATCCCCAAGCTGGTCAGGGTTTAGTTTTCTTGTCCGAGCCTCGTGCCTGGTGCGGCGTGTGTTGGATGTTGCATGTCTCCGTGTGCCTTGAGTAATGTTGTTTAGTTGCCTCAGAGAGCTGCTGCTGCTGCCCATGTTGCAATTGCACTTGCAGCTCTGTAGTGGCAATAGATGCTGCTAACTGCTTGTTGCTTGATTTATGGCCTAGCAAATTTCACTTGACATAATCTTGGGCAATTTTCTTGGCTCCATGGCTCCCCAATGACAGGGCGGTCTGATGGTGGAGCAGTAACTGAATTGAATTCTAATTTTCCAGGGGGTGCCAACGAGGTCAGTTATCTTGCCCGCCTGGACCCTATCTTCTTTCCTTGGCCCTTTTCTCTTTTCCCCTCGGTTTCCCTGCTTCCCTCTCCACCGCTGTGTGTGCAAGTCCTGTCTGCCAAGACAAATAAACGCTTATTTGCACACTAATTGCACCTGCGACGTGCTTTGTTATTATAAAATTCTATATTTGCACAGCACAGCCCAGCCCTCTTGTTCTCTCCCCGTTCTCTGTTTTTGTTTTCTCGTTATTGTCACAATATTTGCCATTGTTAGGAGCTGAAGGCAGCTTTTCGGCAGCTCCTGAATAAATTTTTAAAGTCTTCAGAGCCAACGCGGCGTATGATTAACCATGCGGATGTCTCCACTGCGGTGGCTGCGTGCTCGGCGCTTAATTATGCGCAAGGTTAGGCTGGCTCTGGCTCTGACTCGTACTCTGACTCGGAATACAGCATGTGTACAGCCAACAATTCCACGCGCATCCTTGACCCAGGACGCGAGCAAATGCAACAGTAGCTCCGGCTAAATTATGGTCATTAAAAAGCTTTCAGCTTGTGGACATATCAAATGCCATTAAAACATGTGTGCAAATGCACGATTCGAAATGAGTGTGTGCATGACCTTTGCTTTTTGGCCAGCGCGCTTCTGCGTTGGCTGATTGAAAACTGGAGCACAATCCTTGACTTTTGACCTCTTTCCACTACGCTATCTTGCTACTTGGCTACTTGGCAATTAGGCAAAGTTTGGCTCTGCAGCAGCCCGGTTGAAATATTTAAACAGCTTCGGCAGGGAATGGAATTGCGTTAACCTCCGGGGACCTACGTGTGTCCAAAAGTGGAATGGAAATGAAATGTCCAACTGCCGGCTACTGGGAATCGAAGGAGAGGTTTAAGACTTGTGCCTGGGCTCCTACCTCTGCTGCATTTCAAGTAGCCGGGAAGCTGAGCTCTAAGAAGGGAATGCCAGAGCAGGGGCCGGTGAGCTTCAACTAAAAGCGCAATGGCACAAAACGCCCCGGATCCAGTATACTGCTCTTCTATATATTTTTTGTATTTTTTGGCGTCCGAGGAGCATTTGGGGGCTTTGTAATATGCGCTCAACTCGCTGGAACTTTTGTCAACTCGAAATCAAAGGGGACGACAACGGCACTGGCACAGGAAGTTGAAAAGTTTCGAGTTTTGTGCTAAAGTTACTACCAGAAAACCATTAAAGGCTCACGTAGTCAAAGTCAAAAGACAAATTTGCATTGGAACGGTTTTGCGCTACTTCTTCCTCCGTTTTCCTCCATTTTTCGGCTTCTATATACAAGGTACAAGGCATAAGATTGAAGGTGTACAAGGTGTATTCGGATGAAAATTCCCTTTAAAGCTTGGCAAGCAATTTTCTTGGTTTTATTTGTCGCGCATTCAGCTGAAATTGTTTGCACTTAGCTGCGTTTGCTTTGAGCGCACAATTAAAATGCAATTTGCCAGAGGAGAGCGATCGCACAAAGGCGCCAACAAAGGACTCGTTGGCGAAGGCTAAGCCAAGGATAAAATTCGACACCTGGCCTAGAATCTGGGGAAACAAATGGCGCGTTTAATAAGGATTTCGGATAAAAATGTATTCTAGCAAAGGGATTGCATAAACTCATCTCTATGACAAACAACCAATTAACATCTAAACCCCATTTTCTGTACAAGATTCGCGAGCAAACGACCAAAGAACTTTCGTTAAAGTTTCATTTTCAATGAGGTGTGAAATTATAGCCCCCAGCGTCGTTTTAACCTCTTTAGTGATCACCGGGATAGGGGCCCGCTCCCCCCGAAAATCAATTAATTGCAGCGTACACATTTCCTTGGGGCCTCTGGTGACGACACGCAGCACTGGAAGCAATCAACTTTTGTTATTCTCTTTCCGTTTTTAATTCAACATGTCCACATGTTGCTCGGCTGTGTGTTTTGTATATGTTTGTTTTCCTTGTTTCGCCAATTTTCTGACCGGGATGTTGCAATGTTTTTGTCACGTGCAGCAGCTGCAGCTGGCTCGGCGCATGTAAATTGAGCTGCCACAGTTTGTTTATTTGTTTTGCAGCACGTGTGACTGCGGCAATTGTTTATGATATGTTCCCCTTCTGCCTCACAAAAAAACATAGCTGCGTTCGCTGCTTTTTTAATATATCTAAAGATTGCATATTTTTTTGCGCAATGTTTTGCAATCCAATCCTTTATTTTTCGTATTTAAATAAGTTAAGCTTTATTATTGCATTTTTTCAAGGTACAAATGACGGCAATTATAACCGATCCACGGGGCGTATACGTCATGAATGCTTTGTGGGCCCAACTCTGTTAACCGCACTGCTTGCTTGCTGTTAGCACCTCGAAGTTAACAGTGACATGCCCCCGGCCAAGTCCCCCTTCGAATATTGCCTACGATTATCGGCACCACTCGACCAATTAGAGGCTCTATGAAAATCATATCAACCGAATATCCTAACAGATAAATAAAATCCACTTCCAACTGGATATTTATGCAATTTGTGTTTTTGTTTGCAGATAATTCGCACTCGACAATGAAAATAGATGACATTAGTTAAGGCGTAGCCGCAGAGTTCTCGTGCCTGGCCTGTCCTGGCTGTTAATTTCTGCGGTTGTGTCTCTTCATGCTAATTTGTTTTTGGCACCGATTTGTTTGCCACATTGCGGTTAGGTTACAGAAATAAAAATAGTTTAAAATTATTTAAATTTGAAGAGCATGTGTGAAAGGCATGTTTTTTATAGAAGGTAACCGACCAAAATCAATTTATTCGGTAATATAATTATTAAATCACGAGCATATGAAGTGAGAATCAAAAAAATAATTCGATTTTCAATCAGTTTAATAAATGCAATAATCAAGTATTTTAACATTTGAAGATACTAAAACCATGAATTAAATTAACATTATTACCACAATTCACAGCTAAATGCATTAAAATACTGATATATTTAAAAAAATTTCAATTAAATGGATAGATTTAGCGTAAAATTGGCTTTAATTTATTTCAGCACTGATTTTATTGTACTAGTGGGATTCTATGTATGTGCTATGGTTCTATAAAAGCTTCCCAAGTGTCTCTATTAAATAGTAATTAGTTGGCATTATTGAGTTAATGAATACAATTATTTTATTATTGTCCAATTTATGCGCCACTATGCCTGTTCTTTTCGCTCGACTTTCGGGTTTTGCCCAATATAGCTCCCGAATTAGCAGCAAATCTCGCAGATTCAATTTAGTGCTAAAGCGCTATCGCTGACCGCCCAAAATTACCGAAACAATTTATCTTTACAAGCGTCACACCGCGCTAATCAAACGATAAGCAAGCTTTATGTCGATCACTATCAGAGCACTGCGGCTTGGGATTCGGCCCTAATCACAGTCAAGGTTCCTCCATCCCGCTTTGGGTTTATGATCTCAGGTGCTTCAATGAAAGTCCCCTAACGGGATGGGTCATTTACGCACAATCCAGACACGTGTTTAGTCTCTTTCCCACTTTCTAATCACAATCAAGGCTTTTTCCTAGTCTTCGCTTCTATTCCGCTGTGATATCACGACCACTAAGGCTTCAATTGAAGGCCATAAACTGGATAGAAATTTCGGCTCCCGCTCCTAAAAATAACTCGACTAAACTGATCGGGCTCTGTGGTGGCTGCTGCTCTGCTGCTGCCGAGTTAAGCTGCTGGCGTCTGCCGGCTTGATATTTCAGTCCGCTGCGAGCAACCGGCGGCTTCACACCTGTCCACCCACACCCAACCGGCAAGCAGTGCAGGCAGGCCACAGTTGGCGGTTCGATCGCAGTAACCAGTTAAGAAGTGTAAACTTTCATCGGTGCGTTTGGTGCTCAAAAGTTGAAAAGTATTTTAAAATTTTACAAAGTGCACTCGTGCACCTGTGCGTATGGCTGTGTGTGTTATTGAACTTGGGTGTTGTGCGGTTAGCTGTTTGCTCAAGTGGCTTCAATAGAGTTTTCATTAAAGACACTTTGCCGCCTGCTGTTGCAAATTGTTTCTTCTAAACTCACTTTTGCAACTGTTTCCCCCCCACAATCTATGAGCCATGCTAGGTATAGGTGTACAGTGCATATTTGTTATGAAAGATTCCAAACTGATTGATAGTAAAACACATGTTTTGTTCAGAATACTTTGTCATTCTCGTGGAAAGACTAATATTTTGTTCGCACTGCTACTTATCGGAGGCAAAATATGGTTTTCCAAACGGCTTACCCTATGTGGAGCCATCATCCGAGACCCGGAATTTACGATACTCATAATGGCACTTTATAAAACAAAAATCTCGGCAGGTTTCCTTCTTGTTGTTCCCGTGCGTCCACAACACTGGAGTTTGCAGTCGCACCAGATAACCCGTGTGTGGCAGTAAAAAGCTATATATAACTGTTTAATGGTCCCATCTTTATTGGCCCAGCTAAGGAGCATAAACAAAGAAATAATAGCTAGGAGAAATAAAACGATTAAATAGCAATTAGTATTTTTGAGACTCAGCCATGGAAAGGTTCTATAGTGTAGGAAAACTTTCAGGAGGGAAAATATCAGTTCTCTGTGCTTTATTAAATATATGGCTGTAATAGATAGAGGGAATGTAATAAATTCTGCGGTAGTTGTAATCGTAAATCCATAATGATAAGGTATATTTAGATTCTCTATTCATTGAGGGAATGTGTCCAACCACTTTCGCTGATCCCCGCTACGAGTTTCCATTATTAGCACGTGCGTGTGGTGTGCAATTGCTTCAATTTGGTACGACAGTGCCGAAAATTCGTGCAATTTGCAAATCAAAGCGAATCAACCAAGCTGGACTCACTCACTCTACAATTATTTGATTACAGTTTTGAGAGGGCCACACAAACTATATTGTACTCGACTATAGGTTCTGCGCGAGATTTCGCGTGCCACAATTGGCGAAGCACTGGCTTAATAAGTTAAATGGATAATTGAGTTAAGATGCGTCTCGTTCGCGAATGCCAAGCTTAGACAGCAGGAACGTCTCCGGCCTGGCTCGGCTATTATGTTTCCGCATTAGTTGCCCACAAATTGCTTAGGAAAATGTTTGCTCTTCGGTCAGTGTCAATGTCAATTACGCGGACGGCACGCAACAGATCAGATCCCTCAATATATTGTATGAAAACCTATATGCATAGCACTTGGGCGCTACAGCACATCCCTCGAATTATAACACGCTTTCGAGTGGGGCTTCTGTTGGGTCAATCAGCCTTAAATACGGGTTTAATGATTCGCCAGCACGCACACGAGTTGTCGTTAACAATTGCCGTATTGTATAAACAAATTAAATGCATTTGCAGGCCGACAAAATGACTGACCTGGAGTCTTCGAAGAACGGCAAGCACCACGACCAGGTGCACCACAACAAGTGAGTACTATCCATATAGCTCAAATCGGTTCCGCATTTTTTGAGGGCCCAAGAATATGTAAATCAAACCAGCGCCAATACATGTGCATGTAAATAGACTCCTCGGTGCCCTGGAGCGCAATATGGGTTGAATAAACCAGTCGATAACACACCAGCTTCAAAACTGGTTTCGGGGCTAGACGCAAAAAAAGAGAATAATGAAAAAAACCAGCATGTTGCCTGCAGAAAAATATACAGACTGGCTGAAAGGGAAAGTAACCTCTTCATTTGCATGCCTCTCACCATCAACAATCCAGCCATTGGAATACCATACCCTGAGTTTATGCAGAACTATTTTCATATTTTTTGCACTTTATTTTCCAGCAATGAAATCACGGAAAGTGAACCGCTCACCTGGCGCTTTTGGCGGAAGCAGCGCTACATTGTGGTTCTCATGGCCTTCTTCGGCTTCTTCAACGTCTACTCGCTCCGGGTTAATCTTTCGGTGGCCATTGTGGCCATGACCGAGAACCGCACGGTTGTGGACGGCGATGGGAATGTGTCCTGGGAGCAGGACTTTCCCTGGGACTCGAAGCAGAAGGGCCTGATTCTGAGCTCCTTCTTCTATGGCTACATTCTGACCCAATTCCTTGGCGGCTATATTGGCACCAGAATTGGTGGTAATATTGTAAGTAAATTTCTTCTTTTTTATCACATTTAAACTTTGAAACAAGCCAGAGGTTTAATTAATCAGCTTAAAGTTAAATCAATCATGCAAGTTATTTTCAATCCAGTTTATATAAATATTACTAACTAGTTTTAAATAAAGATGTTATTATGTTGTAGATTTTAGCAAACAAGCATCATACACAATTTAAATTTATAAAAATGTAATTCAGGTATTTGGCACTGGAATCGGCAGCACTGCCATCCTGACCCTGCTCACTCCCCTGGCGGCTAAACACAGCCTGGAAATGTTCCTGGCCGTCCGCATCATTGAGGGCTTCTTTGAAGGCGTCACCTTCCCGGGCATTCATGCGGTCTGGGCCCGTTGGTCGCCGCCCTTGGAACGCTCCCGCATGGCTTCCATCGCATTTGCGGGTAATTACGCGGGCACGGTGGTGGCGATGCCATGCTCAGGATTCCTGGCCACCAAGTACGGTTGGGAGAGCGTGTTCTATGTTTTTGGCACCATCGGAGTGATTTGGTACATCACCTGGCTGATTTTCGTAAAGGCAGGACCCGAGCAGGATCGCTTCTGCTCGAAGGAGGAGTGTGAATACATTCAGAAGACCATCGGCTATGTGGGCACCAAGCACATCAAACATCCCTGGAAGTCCATTTTCACGTCCATGGCCTTCTACGCCATTATGGCCTCGCACTTCTCAGAGAACTGGGGCTTCTATACTCTGCTCACCCAGTTGCCCAGTTTTCTCAAGGGTGAGTTCAGCAAATAATTTAAAAATATTTAAATATCAGCGGTCTTTTCTATATTTCCCAGATACCCTCAACTTTGATTTGGGAAAGACGGGCATCCTTTCGGCAGTGCCGTACTTGGCGATGGGCATCCTTTTGGCCGTGTCCGGCTACTTGGCCGATTGGCTGCAGGTGAAGGGCATTTGGACGACCACTCAGGTGCGACGCAACTTCAACTGCGGCGCCTTCCTGGCGCAGACGGTGTTCATGATGCTCACGGCCTATCTCCTGGATCCCACCTGGTCGGTGGTGTGCTTGACCATTGCCGTGGGCTTAGGTGCCTTTGCCTGGTCCGGATTTGCGTGAGTATTCTGGGCAGACAGTAGCTCTTCATGAGCAGTGACTTTCATGTGTTCCCTCCATTTCCAATTTTCAGAGTCAATCACTTGGACATCGCCCCCCAACACGCCAGTGTTCTGATGGGCATTGGTAATACGTTTGCCACCATCCCTGGAATTGTGAGTCCACTTCTCACCGGCTATGTGGTTGTGGAGCAGACGAGTCAGGAGTGGCGCATCATATTCTTCATTTCCGCGGGCATTTACCTGGTTGGTTGTGTCATCTACTGGTTCTACTGCTCCGGCGAACTGCAGGAGTGGGCCAAGACGCCCGAACAGAAGGCTCAGGAGGCCGAGGAGAAGGCCCAGCTGCAGTTGACACAAACCGCCGGGTTCGTCAACTCGGCAGCCGAACTGAAGAACTAAGCATTCCTCAGTATCCTGTGCATTTCTAAGCACCACACCAAGAATTTTGTGCCCAAGTATTTGTTTCTGTTACGTTTATGTGATGCTAGCAATATGCGCACCAATGTGTCTATATTTATGTATGTTAATCCATTTAGTCTGCGAATAAACAAAGCATTTTATAACAAGTAAATAACGTTTTTTTTGTGTTATATTTCACGCAATTTAATAGTTATGCAGCTTCAAAATATGCATTATGTATTGAGTGTTTTGTAATGGGCGGGGACATTTTAGACTTTATGTTGTCCCCAAAAGTAGGCAATTATTTTTCAACCAGTTTTCTGTTAAGTTTATGATGTTTTGTCTGTTTTTATCACTGAGGACGTTTGTCCACGTAGGTGACGAGTCGCGTCCCTTGGTATGTGCGTTTTATTTATTTTTTTTATGTTGAATGAAGTATTTGTTTCATGAAAAAGGTATTACCCCTAGGAAAAATTGTCTTTTATGATTGAAGAAGGAATAAATTAATGAATTTGTAAATTTACATAAATGTATTTATTCAACATATTTATTCTGTACTTACAAAGTCACAAGTTCAAGGCACAGCAAAAATTAAAAAGTAAAATAAATAAAAAATAGGGGTTTAAATTTTGTTCTTCGAATTTATTTTATTATTTAATTTATAATTTATTGAACTTTTTGCTTAATTTATTTAAAATGCTACTATTTTAAGAAAGAGTTTTTAATAGTTTTACTTAAGTTTTAGCTTTGCTTTAAAAAAGAATAAATTAACTTTTTTTAACTATGCAAAGGGAATTACTGAATCCTTTTCAGTAATCCATAAATACGTAAAACGTAAAATATAAGTATTTCAATTAAGATTTTTAAAGAACAAATTAGATCATTCTTCAATTTATTCTAAACATAAAAACTTTTTAATGAAAATATCATATATATTTAATTATATAAAATTATATAAAAATCTACGTGCTATAAATATTATTGTTTATTGCCAAAAAATACAAATAAAGATACATAATCAAAATATAAAATGTAACTGACAACTTGGAAATGTAGTTAGTTTTCTGGAATTGGACGGGTCTTTTCTAAATCATTATTCTAAGTTTAACTTGATGTTAAAGTAAAATAAACAAATCCAGAAAAGTTATTTGATTCATAATTAAGAATCAAGCCTTTATCTGAATGAAGTGAAAAATATTCCAAAAGAATTCAAACAATTTTGGTGACGCAGTGTTTCCCGTTGATTTCATCTTGGGAGCTGCGTGTGTTTTTTCCTGTGACTCACTCCACCCGGCGAATACGCAACGCACTCGATTGATAAGCCAATCGAAAAGACGTGTGCAGCGAGTTGGCAAGTGATTGCGTGTGCAAAAAAATTAATTCGCTTCTGGTCTGATAAACTGCGTAGCACTCGCTCGAGGCTTGCACACGACGCGATAAGTCGTTCCAAACAAACAAATTTTCTCGAAACTTGTGCAATTTTGCACCCGTTTGAAGCCCACGAAATTGGTATAAATAGGAAAGGCAGTCGGTGGCATAGACAACAAACAAGCAAGTGCAATTCAGTTAATCTTAGCCGAGTTAAGCGACGAGAAGATACAAACAAAATGGTTTGCAAGGGTTGCGGAACTAGTAAGTTGCCACAAGAACTCAGTAAGCCGGAAAAAATTAACAACTTTCGATTTTGCATTTTCCAGACTGCCAGTGCACCAGCCAGAAGTGCGGCGACAACTGCTGCTGCAACAAGGACTGCAACTGCGTCTGCAAGAACGGGCCCAAGGACCAGTGCTGCAGCAACAAATGAAGTGGCTATTGGCCAACTAACTACCAGACTCTTAACTGTCTAACCAACAACCAATAAAGTTTATGAACATTTAAAAGTTTTCGTACCTCACTCTTGGGGTTGGGGGCAGTACTTTGGCCGGTGTGCCATTTGCAGCCAAAATCAATTATGATAAAATAATAAACGTGCGCTGGCTTTTTGGTTAAGCAAACCGCAAAATAGAATTACATGCTAAATAAACAAATCTAACGCAATGCGACAATTTGGCTGAAAATGCAAATATTTGTTTGCCCGTTGACATCTGCACACACTGGGATTAAAATGCAATCAATCAACGGTGATTGTGATTGAGGGCGGAGAGGCATTGGCAGCTGGAAAACTTTGTCGAATTGTTGCCTAAACTGGACATAAATAGAAATAAAGTCCTGGTCAACGAGTTGAAACCAAATTATTTAGTCGCTTTAATCTCTGCCTGCGAAATGAATTTATTTTCAGACAGAACAAATAATAAATGTTGTTGCGAGCCAGGGAGTGCAGTTTGCTTTTGAGGCAATATCTCGGAAATTGTTTGGCAATTTCGGTTGCACTACGGCCCGGCGTAGTGGTTCAACTTTTATGATGTGCAAACGGAATTTTATTTATCGGCAACGAACACAATGGCTTTCCAGCCCAGGATTCAGGCCGACGCGTTTGACGACCCCACCTGCCGAGAGGGAGCTGCCTCCAGCTGTCAAAACCAAATGACCAATTAAAATACAGGCACTTGTGGACAATTTGAAGCGTCCGTTTCCGGTTGTTTAAGCTGTCGGAATATTTATGGAACAACAAGGAGCCCGCCCCCCCGGCAGATCCATTAGCATAATCAAAGGTGCGTGATTGAGGCGTTTTCTCTGTTTGACCTTTGTTGCGTGCCAAGTTTGTTTTGTTACGATTTGTTTCTGTTTCTGTTTTCGTTTCATTTCTGGCCCGGAAGTGAGCCGCAATTTCTTGGCTAATCAGGTGTGAATAATGTGACATGAATACGCTTCTAAGACGGCCTTGCACCAAACGTCCAAATACAACACACACATTGTTTCGTGTAACAAAACACCCAGCACACAAGACCCTATTGCACAGTCAAAGAATGGAGGTTTCCAGCATGGAAAACGGATCGAGTAAGGCAGGTAAGTAATGCCTTGCCTTTATATCTGGAAATCCTCTCATGAATTTTTTTTTTAAGATGACGAGGTCAAGCCCACACGGCTGAGCCTTACCAGAGCCGTAATGTTCATTATTTTATTCAACGTGGTCTTGCTCTGCGCCACTATCTCAGGGTATTTCTATCTAGCGTCCATGGATAAGTCGATCCATGCTAGAATCGGGGACTTTCTGATTATTGGGGGAGCGACAATAGCGATTCCTCTGCTCTATGGGTTGGGTGTAAGTATTACCAAAATTTCTGGGCCTGATAGTAATTCTCTATTTCGATTAAGGACCTTTCCAAGGGCAAGCCCAACTTTTATTACATTTAACTGGTTGGTCGCCCAGTCAATAGTTCGTTGAATTAAATTTCATTTGAAAAGAGGGAACTTGAGAATTCCGCTCGGAGCAAGTACTCACTAAGCAACGTTCGCTCCGACACCTGTTTTACACGTTTTCCATTTTACGAGCATTGTCACATTGCGAATCTAAATTAATTTATTGTAAGCCCGATAAACCCGCGAAATGTCCATCCGGAGAACAAGCTTGATATCCTACAACCAGCGCCGCGTTGCGCGCTGGTACTTCGGCGGCGTCGCCAGCTCGATAGCCGCCCTCATCACCCACCCTCTGGACCTGATGAAGGTTCTGGTCCAGACACAGGTGGACAAGCTCTCGCTAATGGCAACGACCCGCAAGATAGTCCGTGAGCAAGGTGTCCTGGCCCTCTACAATGGCATATCGGCGTCCCTGATGCGCCAGTACACCTACACCTTGGCCCGGTTCGGCATCTACACTTTCGGAGCAGGCGTGGTGGACACCAGCACTATGGCCCGGAAGACAATGCTGGCTGCCGTGGCAGGTGGAATCGGTGGCTATGTTGGGGCTCCAGCGGATCTGATCAATGTCCGACTACAAAACGACGTCAAGTTGCCAGTAGAAAAGAGACGCAAGTGAGTCAAAAAATTATGTACACTCCAACTATGTAAACCCCAAAGAGGGAACCTGTAGAACCGATTATGATTTAAGTCTCAAATAATTATTTTTTAGCTACAAACATGCCATTGATGGGCTCGTCCGCATTACCCAAGAGGAGGGCTGGCGAAGTCTGTTCAATGGATCCTCGATGACCGCCCTCCGTGGCATGTTCATGACCGTGGGCCAGATCGCGTTTTACGAGCAGAGCAAGGGAACGCTCATCCAGATGGGCATGCCGCAGAACATGGGCACCTACATCGTTGCTTCTGTTATATCGGCCGGGTCCGCCACGACTTTGACTCAGCCCATCGATGTTGTGAAGACCCGTCGCATGAATGCCCGACCGGGCGAGTACCGCAACCTGGCGGATGTGTTCATACAGACCTCTAAGGAGGGTCCACTAGCTTTCTTCAAAGGGTTCATTCCGTCTCTGACGCGACTTATGCCACATACTGTGATGTTGTTCGTGTTCCTGGAATACCTGCGAACCCACTTTGGCTATTTGCCGGAACCCAAGAAAACGGGTCACAGACATGTGGATCGCTACCGTGACGAGGAACCGAAAGATTAATGTTACGTAAAGCTCTATCAAAATCTCCTGTTAATATTTGTGCCATTTGGAATAGTTCCTTTGAGGCTGATGGTAAATTTTTAGCCTGTAAATAAATTAAATTTCAGAATTTCCATTTTCGCTTTTTTGGCAGAGTGGCGTGGAGCCTTTTCTTTGCTTTTATTTCGCTTTCAGGTCTCCCTTAGTTTTATTTTGTTTGCGTTTTGTTTGGCCCGGCATATTCAATGAATGCTTTATGAGGTGAAGAGAAACCGGTGGGCTGGACCGAAACTCCATTACCCAGATGAATGCTTTAATGGCCTTTAAAGCAAATGAAGCTGGCTGGTGGACTGGCAGCGTGGCAGGCTTGGCAGCCTGGCGTTTTCCTCAAATGAAAGTCATAATGGGAGAACACTCGGAACTTGGCAGCCAGCGGATAATGATGTCGTGTAATCGCATTAAAGCCATTAACAGGCTACAAGGGGGAGAAGCTCAAGCGAAGCACTGGGGCCGAAATAGAGATACACATTGTGTTGACAAGGAAAAACAATCATACGTCCCTTGTGACAGCAGTGTCAGCGGCAGTGGCATTGGAATTGCCAGCTCCAGCTCCTGGTGCTGGTCTTCCATCGATGGCAGCGTCCATGCAATATTGATGCCACCCAAGGCATCGAGCCAACGAGCTTCCAATGTTCTAAACAGTATTTAAGTGTATAAGGGAAACTTTTCATCTCTTTCCGACCGTTTGCCAGAGGCGGTTTCTGCTTGAAAGTTAATTACATTTCGGAAAGCATTAAAAATTCAGCGAGTCCCGAATCTGCTGCGAAATCAACTCCATATGCTCATGTGAGTGGCTGGCGGAAATTATAATAAATAATTATGGGAAAAGAATTTAATTTCCCAGGACCAATCAGAGCTGTTCAATAGCCACGAAATTAAAATGAAACCTTGCCGGAAGTTCATAGCCCAGACTTAATTGGGCCTTGTGGCTTAACAACTGGACATGATTTTAAGCCAGATTTCATGATACATCTTTCGAAGTTAATCAAACATTTAAAGATGTCCGTGGCTGTTAATTATTTCGGGTGCCGCAGACTGAGCATTGTAACTTTATGACATTGCCAAGTACGCAATAAAAGCGCCATCATGGATGCGCAAAATTTATGCAAATTCGGCATGTGCCACTGAGAGCCGAAACCCAAAAGCAGCAATAACGACGACGACCACAACGACAAATGCATAAATCAGTTTTAATGCAAATTTCGAAACATTCCATGCTCTTGTCTCAATAAGCAGCCATTAATATGCCGCGTCGGCTGCGTAAATTGTGTGATTTTTGTGGCTTTGCTTAATTATACGCATTGTCGCAGGGAAAAACGGTTTCAGGCTACTCCGAATCCTGGCCCACCCTTTGTGCAATGGTCAAGGGCAGCAGCTACCAGTTGCCGCACAATTGCGGTTACGAGCGTTCGGAGCTTGCGTGGAAATTACTTCAGTATTTATGACAGAATAGAGTTCTACAAGGCGGTGGCCTTTGCCGGCTAGCATTTAAATAACGGCCAATAAATTCAAGTGCAGTTTAAAGCGGCTGGAAGTATTATCCGCTTTATGTACGAAAGTCCATTTATATTTCGAAATGGTCGAGACACAGAAACAAATAAAGTCCGACACGCAGGTCGTTTCAAACGCCTTTGGGGCCAACTCCACTTCCCAGGGATCTGCCACAATGCCAGCCAGGATGCAATAAACTTCTAAATCAGTCGATTAAGCAGCGAGCTGCAAATGCCCCTAAAAAGAATTCAATACTGGCCCAGTGTGTGGCAGCCAGTGTGTGCTGCGTGCAAAAAGTTTCTGAAAAATGTTGAGCAATTAAAATAAGTAGCATGAGAACCTCAGGGGAGGAAGCAACCAAAGTTGCAAGTTGGTTTTGTTCGTTCGCCGGAGGGTTCGGTTGCTTTGTTATCTTTCGTGTGGATTTTGCTGTCAGCAGCGGATGGAGTTGGGCACCGAAGGGTTTAAACGAGAAACGTTTGGGGAAACCCGAGAAAAAAAATCCCAAAAGGTCATAACAGTACATTTTCAACTATTTAACGCGACTTTAATTTAATTGCAGGTTAAATGAGTTCGATTGAGATCACAGGGAATGAGGGGTTTCTTGGGCCCTGGGTACGATAATGATTTTATTAAATTGTTTAACTGTTTTGACTAGAAGGTATAAACTAATGATTTAAAAAATCTAGAAAAGACTTGAAATATTTATCAGCATCTATTTCTTAGTTTTAAACATACTCAGAACTTAAACAGTTTGTATTCCTTAGTAAATCGCTACTCATTTTTCCATACTCATTAAAATACAATGATATATGTAGAATATATAAAATAGATTAACATACATATATAGATGGTATAGTAAATTTGTATTTAAAATTAACCAGTAAGGAAAGTCAGGAAAGGAAATATTGCATATAAGAGCCGATCTTCTTGATAATTTTATTATAAACCCATTTCTCTAGAATATAAAAGTCTTCTATCTTCAAAAACATTTAAGTTGGTATTTTTGCCAAATACCAAATATCATTTCCGATCGTTCAGTTATATTGCATCTATAGGATATAGACGGCCGATCTTTCGAAAATTTGTTAGGTCGAATCAATTGGAAAAAAATAGAATCTGTAGAAAGTTCAAATGTTCCATCTTCTTTTTTTTTTAAATTTAGTATGTCGTTTCAATTCATAGGAAATCCATACTCTTTAACTCTAAAAACACCAGATATAGCATTTCCGATCAACCAGTTATATGGTTGACTTATATACTGCAAAGAAAAGAAGGGTGTGTGCAATGTTTCAAGTCGATAGCTTTAAAACTGAGAGAGTAGTTTGCGTAGAAAAGATATCTGATCATGATATACATATATATCTGATCATGAATATATATACTTTATAGGGTCGGAGTTGTCTACTTCACTGCGTTGCACACCATTGACCAAAATTATAATTATAGTTTGTAATAGAATCGTAAAATGGCTCCTTTATTCACCAAATGTCACCCTCTGCTAGAATATAAAAAGGAAGAATTGCGTACATATTTCCTAGATATTGGGAAGAAAATAATATTGAGTAAATGTAAAAGTAAAAGGAAATAATGAAGAAGGCGTGCGCTTTAATACTTAAATGAAATGAAAGACATTTCTGGCTTGTTTTTCCTGAAATGATTGTTCTATAAAAATAAAAATGTGCAGAACTGTAGAAACTAAACAATGGAAATCTTTGAAAAATAAACCTAGCATGTTTGATTAGAAATTCCAAACGCATTGTAATTTATTTGGCCAGCATCCTGGCATCTGTCTGCCAGAGATTTGTTTGCCCATTTGAATTCCGACCACATCTCCCGGCAATGGGTGAGGCAGCATAACAGTTTATCTTTATAATTAGATCTCATCGCTTTCTATCTTCCGAAATAGTGAGTGCACAATGGCGAAAACCACTTCGGAAGCCATTTGCCCGGGCCATCCCGGGCCATGATATCCGACTCCACACGTACCACTACTTGGGACTCCAAAATGGCTATGAACGCACCCGAAAAACCAAACGTGAGCCAAGCGTGAAGCAACCTGAACCCAAAACCAAAATCCAAACCCAAACCCGAACCCGCGAATCGCGAAACTTGGCTCATTAAAGATTAAGACGCATTAACACAAATGGTGTGAGGGGCCAGCAATTTAAGCGCCATCAGCATAAATATTTATGCAAATTGGGATTACAAGTATTTTGTACGTATTTTGTGTCGGGCCGCGTTTTCCAAACTTTCCGATAGAGACTCCTCTTTGGTGAAATTTCTGGCCTGAAATTATAATTTTATTAGAATTTAATCCGTGTCTTCGAATAACTTGAAGCCTTAAAGCTTTTCTGTGGCTTCGGGTGACCTTGCTGGGTGCATCTTTGAGTTTTCCATTTTCCCGTTGGCTGGATTGCAGCTGCTCATTGTTTCGACATGCTATTTTTGCATTTTCAGCACTCAAGGCTACTGCTAAAAAAAAGAACAGAACCCTGAAAAAGTGAAAAACTCTACCCAGAAATAAATGCACACAGTGTAATTTATGCTGCCACGAAGCGAAACCAACTTCCAGCTCATAAAATGCCGAGGTAAGTTGAGTTGAACGGCCAAGGTTGCCGGGATTTAGATAAATGCAACGCATAAAATCCTTTTGAGGTCATCCGTGGTGGCACAAAACGAAAAAGAGATTCGCACTTTTCCCACTTGGCTGTCGAGATTAATTCGCTTACCGCTCCGCTCATCAATATGCATTGAATCCGAATTGGAATTCGGGACTGAGTGGCAAAACTTGTCCGAGGCGCCCACTCTTTGATGTCTGTCAGAATGAGGCTTATTGGCAACATTGTTCCCTAATGCAATTAGCCGCATTTATGCCAAATTTTGGCCTGGCCCACAGCCGAACCCGCCAGACCCACAACCCGCCCACAGACATGGCAATTTCCCAGCTGCTTGTTGTTGAAATTTCATTACTTTGTGTAAACAAAGTGCACGTGCCCGATGCCTTCGTCCTTCCGCCACTTCCACGCATGCGCGGATAATCCCGAAAGAGCAATCCAGTACGCGCCGCGCGATACATGAGCCATGGCTTTAAATCATTTTTCGCTGTTCCTGTGCTTCATTCAATTATCAAAAATAATTTAAAATAATTTTATGTGCCGGCCCGGCCTGGGAGGAGCGCAGAGAGCCAAGACTGGCGGTCACGTCGTAATCAGCAAAAGGTTTCGTCTAGTTGTGGCTGTAAAGTCGCCTACGTGACTTCAATCCTCAATGAGACTTTTCCCAGAATTTCTAATTTATGTAGTTTGCGGTTTGGATTTATTGCGCCTACAATTTTGCTGTTGTGTATCATTTATCTCTAATGGCGCATTGATATGGCGGAGCTCTTCGGGAAAAGTGCGCTTTTAGAGAAGCCTTTCCACCCGACAACAGGGCGTATGAGCGATGTGCGTTAAATGCGTCAGCCAATTTAGCTGCGTCCTGAAGTGGCGGTGCTTCACTCGAGTGCAGCGGCTTGGCTTTCAAGGGTTTCGACAGCCAAGAGCCAAATCCAAAGGCCAAAGCCATGAGCCAAATGCCTGCCTG